GGACCAGGCGGGCATGGGCGCGGCTCTGCTGCGTCCGATCGCAGGCCAGGGCCGCGTACTGTTGTCCCACAGACCCGGGGCTTGCAACAACGGACAGGTACTCCCTCACCACCCGGAGGCCACGAGGCCAAGATCAGGGTGTCAGCAGAAGTGGCCTTTCCTTGGGGGCTCGGAGGGAGACGGCCCCAGTCCTGTCCCAGCGTCCGGTGGTTCCCTGGGCATCTGTCTGTCGAGGCTCGAGGGAGCGTCGCCCTGGTCTCTGCCTCCGTGGGCACCTGTGTCTCTCTCTCTTTTTAATTATGGTAAAATACACAACATGCAACGTTTGCCATTTTCACCGTTTTAAGTGTACAGTTCAGGAGCATTAAGTGTGTTCGAAAGGTTATGTGACAATCACAGTATTATAATTTGCAGAACTTTTTCATCTTCCCGAACTGAAATTCTGTCCCCAGTAAACACTAACTCCCCACCCCACCCCCAGCCCCGGGCACCTGCCCTTCTGCTTTCTGCCCCTGTGGCTTTTCCTACCCTGGGTGCCTCGTATCAGGAGAATCCTACAGTGTCGGTCCACTGGTGTCTGGATTCTTCCACAATGTCAGGTCACGGAACGCAAGGACTGGGGGGTGTTTTAGATCTGCGTGTGGGTATTCGGTTTAACTTCATTAGGATAAAATCGCCCTTTTTCAGTTGAAATAGCTCAGGGGACATGTGTGACTACCCTCTTGGATGCACAGAGAACGTTTCCATCGTTCCAGAAGGTTCTGTCGGAGAATACTGTACTGGGTTCGCGGAGACAGAAGAGACGTGACAACTAAAGAGCGTGTGACTGGGCTTGGACCCTGGTCCAGAATTGTCTTTTCTTGGCCGCAGGGACATTGTGGTTGTCCTTCACGCATTGGTGAAGCGTGAGCAAGCGCGCTCTGCCGGGTGGGGGGGGACCCATGGGACCCACGCTCGCTTCCTGGCGTTGGCGTTGGTGCGGGTTGTGGGAGGGCGCCCCCACCCTCGGGCACACGCGCTTGGGTGTGCGGGGGCGAGGGGCTTCGTGTCTGCAGCTTTCACACGTTCATAAAAAGTGACACAGCTAGGCACACGCAACACGCACAGCCCCCCGTGCCCCCCGCAAAGAGAATAACATGTGACAAAGCAAACAAGTTGGTACCCGCGGTGCCCTGTGACCAGCCCCTGCCAGGGTGGGGGACGCTGCTGGCTGCGGGCGGGTGTTCGGGCACAGGTGGGGAGCTGGGGGCGGGGGGCGTGAGTGCCCCCAGGGAGTTGTCAGTCTGCCAGGTTTCCCCTGGGCTCACTGCGGCTCTGGTTCCGGCCAGTCCTTCACCTAGATTTGTCTCTTCACCCTCATTTCCAGCGAGCTCGGGCTCAGGCACGGCTCTCTGCAGCTCTCTTGAAATTGAGCTGCTGGGCGCTTAGCGAATGGGTATCGGTGAGCACGGCTGTCTGAGACCCGGGCTGGTCTTCAGTGTGTGGCTCGGTCCTTGCTTTGTGGACACCCACGCCCACCCGGACTGAGTGGGCTCATGGCTCCCACATTGGGGACACCCGCCTCTGCCCTCGGTATGGAATTAACCCAGCAAGGTGCTGCGTGCTGGGAGCCCGGTCCTGAGAAGCCACGCCCCCTGGCCCTGCAGCATCGTCGACAGGGCGGACCCCAGGGCCCAGTGAGTCTAAAGTCTGTGCTCCAGGCCGCCTCACCTGCTGCCCCCAGAAGGTCGTTACCAGCTTTTCCACAGGGGCTGGAATCCAGGGATCCTGGGCCTACCCCATACCTCCTACCCCATTGCACTGCCAAGCCCAGCGCAGGCTGGGCGCCCGGAGGTTGGGGTACCAGGCGGAGCAGAAGCCTGGGGTGTTATGTGGGATTTCTGGCTTTTTGCTCACACCCGCCTCCCACTGTGGGGAGCGTGCAGCCTCCGCGGCTTTCACGGGGCAGCCCCCCACTGTTGGCTTTGTCGCATGCGGCGTCGTTGGGGTCTGGGGGAAGGTGCTGTGTGTGCGGATATGTGTCTGTGCACTCTGTCCTTGCTCACTCAAGGCTGGCATATTTCGTTCCAATAAAGGTTGTGAGTGTCGAGTGGGCTCGAGCGTGAGCAGGGGCTGGGGGCTCATGGCCACGGATGGCCCGGGTGAGCGGAGGCCATCTGTGACGTCTGGGCCAGCGCGTCCTCTCCCGTGGCCCGTGTGGGCACAGGAAGCCATGTGCGCTGGTGCTGCCTGTCACCCTTCAGCAACTCTGTAACGGCTTTTCCTTCTCCTCCCCAGTTCCTGTGTCTGAAGAACATACGCACCTTCCTTAAAGTCTGCCACGATAAGTTTGGGTTAAGGAACAGCGAGCTGTTTGACCCCTTCGACCTCTTCGATGTCCGAGACTTCGGGAAGGTGAGTGGCCTCTTCCTCCAGCTCAGTCCTCTGGGTGTGGTGGCTGAGCACGTGCTCGGCGGCAGGCGGGGTGAATGAACAGAGCAGGCCCGGGCCCTGACGCAGAGTGGACTGGGCTTCTCCAGCTTGGCGTCCGGCAGGTGCAGGCTGGGTTGGGTTGCAGACGGAGGGTGGGCGGGGGGCGGAGGCGGTGGTGGCAGGGTGGCCCCTCCTCCTCTCACCCCCTGCCTCGGGAGGCCCGGTGTCCTGAATCCAGGAGGGCGGAGGGCAAGCAGGGCATGGTTGAGGGCAGAACTGGGCACGGAGCGTCTTTCTAGCTGAGTGTTTACTTCCTGCCCAGAATCTCCAGTTCTTCATGGGAGGCCAGGCCAGTGTTCGGACCAGCTGCAGTGGGGCCGAGGTGGTGTGGGTTCGTAGTGGCACTTGGTGCAAGGGCCATCGAGCTGACACCTCAGACGAGCAGAGCTGGCCTGGCTCTGACAGGTGTGGGGCGAAAACGGGGTGGTTACCTGAACCCCCAAGGTCCCCGGAGAGGATCTCCTAGGTCGTTGGCAAACCACCCAGCAGTCTCTGTGTCCTCAGAGTGTCACCTGGCAGCTCTCGTGCAGAAGCTCTGCTGGCATGGGGAGGGGACCCTGAGGCCGAAGATGTACAAAGGCCAGGGGCGTGGCCAGGGCTGCGGCTCATTCCCGGCTTCCCCGCGGGGCCTGGCTCAGGGCATCCTGTGTCATCCCAAAGCACAGCAGGTCCAGGCCGCTCCTCTGAAATCGCCGGGATCAGGACCGTGAGGACCTCTCGGTGTCTCGGGCCGTGGGGTTGGGCGCAGACCTGGCTGAGTGCTGCCTGTGGCCCAGGTGTCCCGGCCCCTCCGACGTCCGGCCAGTCCACTTCCCACAGCCCTCAGCAGATGTTTATTGCCTTTTTACCAGGGCCTTAGAAGTGCCAAGGGAGCCTCGAATCTGCAGATGCAGATGTTGGGGGTCTGGTTCTGCGAGGAGCCTGTTGAAGGGTCGCACAGTGTCAAGCTAGCGCCGTGGCGAGGCCACCCGTGAGCCACCTGGCCCTGGTGGCACTCGGCCTTAGTCTAGAAAGTCCCTAGAGACGAGCGAGATTGGATACCTGTGCAGGAGCCTCTGCTTTGTGTAAGCACCAGCTCTGAGGTGTCTGTTCCCCTCACGTGACTCAGCCACGTCCTGTGGGGTGCGCCTGCCTGGACTGGGCGCCACGCTGCCCGCCGCCCGGTGCCTGCTGGCTGCTGCGTCTGCCGGGCGGAGCTGCCGAGGCTCGGGTGGGCTTCTCAGCTCCCCTGGATTTGCTCGCAGACGCGTTGGACTCCTTCTCCTGTGCTCTGCGGCAGCGTCCCGGGTAGGGGAGAAGCGGATGGCGGCCGGGGTCGGCCGGGGGGCCTTTAGAGCACATGCGTGTACACACACGCACACACGCACACACACTCGGGCTGCGTTTACGTCCCAGCTCTGCCGTCACAGGGGGCGGCCATGCCTAAGTGACTTGTTTTCTCCAAGTCCTTCTCGTAGTTGGTCCTAAGAACGTCACGTTCCAAAGTCTGTTGAGCGGAGAGTGAGACGGAGCTTGTGGGGTTCCCAGATCCTGGCAGCTGTCCCAGGAGGCACGCCCTTGTTCTTGGCTGCTTTGTCCTTGGTCCTTCGGCCTCCTCTCAGCCACCTGGGAGTGTCCGTGTGTGTGCAGGACGCCTGGCTGGGGACTGGGCTGCCTGTGACTGTGGACTGGGCACCGGTGCCCACGGGGGTGGTGGACGCTGGTGGCCCTGGCCAGAGACGGGCCTGCCCCTCTGGCCTGTCCTCCGCGTCCCTGGCTGAGCGTCCGTGCTCCTGGCCCCCTTCCCTGTGGGCTTTTCTTCCCACGGTGACCTGTGCTTAGCACTTTCCAGCCGAGTTTGACCTGGGGCCATCGGAGGGAGGCTCGGGACATGGGGACGTGCTCTCTCCACAGGAGCCACTGTCCTGAGTCCCTCCTGCTGTCCAGGGATGGGAGTCCCTGGAAAGACAAAGCACAGGCGGAGCCCTGGCCCTGTTTGGCGCTGCGGCCGGCTCTGCTCCGGAGGCTGACGCGTGGGGCCTGCCCGCCCCGGAGAGCTGCGGTGGGCAGGGCAGCGTGCCAGCTGCTGTCAGGGCTGGCCTCCGGCCCCCTGGTCCTTGCAGTGGTCCAGCCCAGGCACGGAGGCCGGTCACGGTCCCCCTGGGCAGAGGCGGAGCCAAGGCCCCATCCATCTCCTCGGGGGCCTTTACTGAGGCGTCTCCCAGGCCCACATTCATCCTTTGCCCACCAGGAGCCCGGCCCTGGACACCATGCCCGTGACGATGGGACCACTTGCTCTGCCCCGCCGCGGTCCCCCTGCTGGCCCTGGGGAGTGAGTGACGAGGGTCCCAGCGGGTGGGGAGACAGCGTCGGTCCCTCTCTCGTACCCAGAGCTCTGCAGGGTCAGAATTGGCGGCTTGTCTCCCGGGGGGCTGAGGACAGAGGGGGTGAGCCCGCCCGGGCCGTGTTGAGAGCGCGCCGAAGCTCGTTCCAGGTGGAGCAGGGGCACGTTTGGGGCGGACGAGCGCTGTCTGCCGAGCACGGGGTCGGCGGGGCCGGGCCCCCTTTTCATCCTTGCCCGCTTGTCTTTCGCTTACGTTCGTAGGGGTCCGGAGTGGGAAGGATCCCATGGAATAGCCGGTTGGTTCATCTCGGGCTGGTTTAGAAGTTTCCAGGCTTTTTATTTTTTTTTTTGGCTGTCACTCAAGGTTGTGGTGCTCGGGTCCAGTCCAGGTTCTGGGTTTCGCTGTCCTTTTTCTAAACTGCTGCCTCTCAGCTTCGCAAGTGTTTCCCGTTGTTGGGGT